GCTAGAAGTTACATTTTATCTCCACGGTGCTAAAAGACTGATCCAATCAAAGAGGCTGATGTGATAATTTGTATTTTAGAAAGATTAGTGTAGTGGCAGCATAACATAGAATTGGTGATTGAAGCTTATGACAGATTACAAGCAGAAAGGCCTTTCGGATGGCAGCCACATCCCAGGACCAAAAGAGCAGTTGTCATGGGAAGGGCTATTAAGGACAAGATAAAGAGATACCCAGTATGTAGAATCCACAAGACTTACTTTTGGAAGATAGTAGGGAGAGAGTTTGAAGATGAGTTTAAACTATCAGACTTTAAAGACTAATACTTTATCCAAAAATCTAAAGGCTGAAGAACTCTAAAGTGTATAATTTGAACCATAGATAAATGATGTTATAATCATGACTTGGAAAGTTTAAAACAAGACAAACATACAAATTTTTAAGCAAACACTAGTTTGACTAAAAGTTTAGCCATGACTAAATTAACTCTTCAACATCATAAAATATAAAAGAAACCTATCTGACTCATAGTTCAACATCTCAATACACAGAAATGGGAATGCAAAAGAAAATAATTTTCTGAGGCTTGGGAAAAGCCCTTTTAAGGATTTAAAGTGTGAAGCACTTGACTTCTAATAGCAAGTAGACAGGAAGAAATTTTATGCACATTATAAAAGTCACATTTCACAGATTCTGAAAATAGCAAAATATTATTCATTCAGCATCTCAAATTTTTTTCTTTTTGGAATAAAAATAAGCAGCAGATTTTGAATTTTGAGAACCACAATTTATGTTTTATTTGATAAGGCACAAATATTTATAAAAGATGGACTGATTCTAATTAAAATAGAACCTTAACCTAGGTACTAGAACTTACCTTTTTTACATTATTAAGTTTATTTAATTCTGTCTTTCCCTTCCTCACTTATGCCCCATTACCCCAACCCATAATAATATCTAATGCCTCTATCCAAACTCTACATAAACAAGCATAGTTCTCTTGAGAATTAGAAGTTACAATTAAAATACTTAGATACAGATAGTCTTAGATTAATAACTCAATCATATGATTCCAATAATCAGTAAACACAGCAAAGATAGACTATGAATTCACCAAAAATATCTTAGGATCTGAGTCTATTGGTAGTGAAGAAATATTTTTTTTAGTCTCTGAAAGATGCAATATACTTTGCTGAGCTCTTAGAAGTATCCTGGCTATTTTAGCTATACCAATAAATCTGTTCACATTAAGTAATTATAGGGTAGGAACTAAAAAGCAAAGAGATATTAAAGAATATGAAATATTATGTATGTGTCATGAACTTAATTTAGAACTCTTTGTGTTTCATAAAAAGTGGGAAGGTCAAAAAAGAAGTGGAGGTGTAAGAACTAAAAGAACTTCAAGTTGAAAAAAGACATGAACTGCAATTATCTTCATATGCCCTATTTAGAAAAACATTTTGAAGCCATCCTTCAGTTTTAAAATAGAAGGTATTTGTTGACTACATTTTTTGTCTTTTTACTAATTAGTTATGCTTCAGAACTTATTCATTAAATACCTTAGCACTTTTGACATACTAAAGAATTATGTACCTACCCAGAGACTCTTTAGAGACAAGGATCCAAAAGAATGAAACTGCACCTGTTTTTGGATTCAGAGATTTTAATTAATTTTAAAATGACCTTCCTCTACCTTTCAACCGGCAAACGAATCAGTGTTAAGAGTGAGCAAGATCTGCTTATTTCAACTATCAAACCGATTTAAATAAATTCTCATTTTTCTGAGCTGTACTCAGATGTGAGAGATACTGTTTCTGTTTAACCCTTACAAGGGATAAAAAACATCATTAGACATGATGAAAAAAGCACATTTCAATGCTCAAAACCACAATTTACAATGAAGATATAACAGTGACGAATATCTGTATATCAAATAACACAGCAACAACCACTATAAAGCACAAACTACAGAAGATGCAAGAAGAGATAAATAAAACACATTAACAATAAAATACTTCAACACACCACTCTCAGTCCAAGGATAGATCAGGAAGAGAAAAAAATAACTAATGACATAGAAGACCTATTCAAATTACTTAATAAGGTAGAAAACCTAAAGATATATTTCAAACTTCACATCCTGATAATTTTTATAAGTTTTCATTAAGTTTGTAATTATTTCAAAAGTAAGTGACTAAAAATGAGGGGAAGAAAAATAGAAAGAGCAGGAAATGAATGAAAAGTCATCAAAATGTCAAGAGTAACTATTTTCTCTCCTTTTCTTAAAACATTAAGCAATCGAGCATTAAAGAAACCCCTTCTCCATTTTAGAGCATTAAGTGTTTTTAATTTAGAAAAGTCTGAAAACAGTATTTCCAATGGAAATCACAGTGAGAAGTCACAAAATGGAGCCAGTGCGGTGATCTGCAAGTAAAGGCACTGGCTCAGTTAGGGAAGGCCCTTCTGGGAGGTTCTAGGCCCCTCGGGCGAAGCACAGGTGGCTGCAGACACTCAGCTTCAGCTGACCGGGAGGTGAAATCTACAAAAGTATGAACACAATGATGGGGCTGGACCACAGCAGATGCACTCTTTGAGGCATGTAGTACAGTCAGCTCTTGCTTGCAGCATCACCCTCTCTCTCCTGCAAAGAGTTACCAGGAGTCCACACTGCTATTATACAATCTCCTCAGACTGCCTCTCCTATAAATCCAGATTGGCGGAAGCCACAACACCAGGACAGTTACAGAAGTTTGTCTCTGTATCTGTCTCGTCATTGCTTATCCAAATCACAGACTGGTAGAGGACAGTGTCTTCGCTGGGCCCACTTGCAGCCTCTGCCAGCACTGCTTCACCCACTTACTTCTGCCTTAGGAGATCACTTCCAGGTTAAAACATTAAAAAAAAAAAAATCGAAAACCTCTGATTGCCTTTTGATGGAACTAATCTTTGTTAGAGGCCCGTGGAAAAAAGAAACAAAATGTTGTCAGAGAGGTATACATATAATTTGACTCGTTAAGCTCAGAGATGAAGAGTCTCTAAATTTTTGAGAAGGGTAAACAAAAAGCATAAGAAAAGAAATCAAATGTGACAGATAAATGATAAGACTGGTCCAGTACCCAGAGGCCCTGTGTTCATTTTTACTGTGTCACTGGGCAAAAACGGCTACCGTTTTATTATAAAAGGAAAAGAAAATGCATTTTGTCTGTCTCACTGAGCAAATGATTGCAGCTTAGCAGACCCAGCCCAGAGGCACTGCACTCCGGGCTTACTCTAGTCTTCTTTGCAAAAAAGAAGTCACCAAGGTAAAGCTATGATGAAGAAAATGGGGCCAAGCAAATGACAGTGAGGACACAGCTGAGCTAATTTATCGCAATGGTACTCACTTCACTATATTTGATATGTTTTCCCACTCACCACTGACACGGACATGCGGGAAAAGAAAATACACCTGTTTGGGGCTTGTGTTTTATTCTCTTCTTTAAGCAAAAAAGAATGGTTATAGTGTGTACATGCTTCATTTTACCACAAAGGATTGGTCTGACAAAATGTACACTTTATTGAAGGATTATATATAACTCCTTTGTACTTCAGGAAACCAAGCTGAATAAACACTAAGTCGCATTAAACACACCCACAGTGCTGACTCTAAAATGCTGTATGAATTTTTCTTGCAAAAATGTCAAAAATAAAAATAGCTACTAAAAGAAATTTAACCATAACTGTAACATTACTTCTAAATAGTTAAGAAAAGGTTTACAAACAATAATAGTGTTCAGTCATTTACAACCCTGAACCATTTTCTCTCTTAAAAATTTCACAGAACCTGTTTTCCTATGAAAAGTTATTGTTTCTCAGTTCTCAATTCTGTCTTTTTCAGATTATCATGGCTTTTTGAAATCGGTTCTTCATTTTTGTGCTGGATTTTGCTTTTGCAGCTTCTAAACTACATGAGTCAATCTTGTACTTATAAGAATAAGAGGCATTCAAGCTACGGTAGGTTGACCTTGGTAGCTAAAAAATCCAATAGTTTAAAATTGAGCTCATTTTTCATGGGACACAAGCCATGAAAAATGTGATCAAAATGGAGTTGACATCCTGCAACTCTAACTTATTTTACTTGAGTTAAAAACCAGGGATGATTCTCTGACCTCATTATTGCTTCCTCTTATACCTACATGGACTTCATGAACCTGCAGCAAATATATTTGAGCAGAAAAAGCCTAAAGTATCATTTAGCATTTTTCACCAATATATTGCACTGTTCCCAAATATGTAATTTAAAAAAATTTTTGTCATTTACTTGCACTGTCACTGCATTTTTTTGTTAGTACAGCTATCTACCAGGTCTCTGAATTTTAGAATGAATTTATTATTGCTCAAATAATTTTCCTGGTTTGTGAATGAATAGATCCAGTTTTATAAGCCTAAATTGACTTGCACTGTGATTACTCCAATATAATGGGTCAAATTCATGTATCTCTTCATCACTTTCAGCTCACTACTTAGGTCCACTGTGATGAGGCAAAAAGATTTAGAGTAAGATCATCTGTATTCAAGCCCTAACTCATTTACTAACTAGCTGAGCAAGTCACTAAACTTTTCTGGGCCTCACTTTGCTCATCTCTAAAGGAAAGTGTAGAATTAGACAGGTTCTGAGACTAATATTCTAGATTACTAACTTGACAATCATTCCACAAGCCATTTGCACACTTACCAACATGGAGGTACAGCCACCTTAGGCTACGATCAACTCTAGTCTGAAAGGTACTATCCTATTGTTGCCAAAGAAAGTTAAGTCAAACCCTCCTGCAGCCCATTTAGCTGTGACCAATACTAATGTTCCTCACTGAAACAGCATTACTAGTTTTCAAAGATTCATCATCTCATTAGTAACCCAATTTCCAAAGTCACCAAGCAAAGGAAATTTCTCTTAAGAAACCTGGGAAGCAAAATCTCTAAAACTGTTACGCATTTGCTACTACATTAGGAAAGTTCACAGTACCTAAAATAGCCACCACCTCATCATCCTGGATGACTTCCAAGGATCCTGATACCACAAAGCAGAGGGCATCCACACTTTCTCCAGCATGGTAAATGAGGTCCCCAGGTGCACAGTGAATAGTTTGGAACTCTACTGCCAAGGCGCGCAGACATCCATCACTGGCCAATCGAAAAGCAGGATGTTCATTAAAAACCTTTCGGTTTAGATGAACACAGATATCAGCTCTCATGTCCTTGGGGCAGATGGAGAGGACCTGAAGGAAGTAAGAAATGAATAAGTGAGAATAAAAGAGAAAGGTGCTATTTCAGAAAAAAGGCACCCAACAAATATTTACTGACAAAGTCAGCAACACACTGTACTAGATACGGGGAAGGAAAAGTTAAAAGACACAGCTCTGCCCTCAAGGCCTGAATAATCCACCACGATTGGCTGATGAGCATATGAGATATTGCAATACAGCACCATGCAGTAAAGCTATGAGAGAGGTATAAATCTCTCCATAGAAGAACATAGTCTTAAGGTGGTCAGAAAAAATTTCAGAAGATAAACAGTTTCTTCAAAGAGCCAACTAAAATAGGGCATTAACATTCATTTTAGTTTAGTCTCTATTTTAGAATATTTTTGTAACTAAATTAAAATTCACAATAATGTACTTTACTCCACATTGGAGGTAAATTTGTAGAAACCAGTCATAAGAAAACAAAATTAACAAAAGCACCATTGTAACTTCACATGCTGTCACGGAGTGACATAACTCCACTCTTGATTTGTGTTTTCCACTCTGATTTTTTTTTTTTT